TTCAAACTCTCTTCAAGGCAACCTTGATCTTTCGCAATCAATTTTAGTGCAACAAGGATTTTCTTCTGGCCAAATGAACGGACAAAACAGGAGTGCTGCCGTTGTAAGCAAGGTGATGTTCTCAGCAGGAGATAGTACAGAGTCAGGGAATCCACTAAAAGTTAATCAGCATCTCAATTCCTTTCCCAGTGACAATACAATTCGGGTCAAGACCGAGAGTGTTGCAGATGTAAACCCTGACAATCTATTCATTGATCACTTCGAACAAGCGGATCTCATGAGTGCTCTTCTGAAACAGGTTAATTCTTTTTATTCTCTTTTATTTACGTATGAATGGGCAGGGTTTCAAGTCGCGGTCGCGTTTTTGGTTATTTCGGATTTACCGTGATTGCGGCCGTCGCGGGTAACTCGGACGGCGGCGAAACCGCTATATCGCGTCGCGGACCATTTTTTAAAACCCTGCGGATGGGGATACACTTACATTTAAAATTCAATTTTCCGGCAGCAACAAGGCATTGCACCAGCTGAAAATGAGCTTGACTTCGATGGGTATTCCCTGGATAATATTCCAGTGTAGATAATGTCTTATGCAATCAATCATTAGGACCTTAAGTTCTGTTTCTTCAAGAAACTGGATTTGCTTTGTTCTCGAGAACCGCAACTTCCTTACAATTATCGTATGCTGCCAGTCTCTTTTCAATATAGGAGGATCAGATGAACGGGATAATAATCAGTACGGACGAGTGGGCCATTGCAAGATAGCTGCAGGGCAAGTAATATCCTACTCGTGCATGATACACAGGATTCCGTTCGATCCTTTTTTCTGTAGCAGAATCTGGCATGACGAACTAACTTTAGGGTGATTTTCGATGATGTCCAGCAGCATTCCAAGTTGTGGAGGATTGTTTGTAAGCACCAGCAAGGCCATTGGAGGCTTTTCTAACTCATAATCAGAAGATCTTTGCTTTTCACTTGTGTATTTTGGAACTGATTTGTGATGTGAATATTCCATTTTGATTGCTCTCGACATAAGTCTGGGCATTGAATCGTGGCAAAATTTTCATGGGATCCTCATTTATATTTAAATTTGTTTTTTTTTGGAAATTAGACCATTTGATTGCTGAAGACGTAAGTTTCTGGTTGATTTGTGATCGTTCCTTTAGAGTTACCAAATTTATTTAATTAGATCTTTAAGCTAGTAACAAATAAGATTAGTATTTATATTAGCGTTCAAATTCAGTTACATATACTTGAATTTGAATTGGTACATTTCAACACTAACTAAAATTATTTTAAAAATTAAAATAAAATTTCGTTTACCTTTTAAAATATATTTTTTATCAAATTGATTCCTAAATCTTTTTCTAAAACATTAATGAGAATAGGATAAATTTTTTAACATTATTAGAATAGAATTTAACTTTGATCTGATTGGATTTTTATATTGTACTCGAATTTGACTTTGATCTGATTCAAATCCTACCAAAAGTATATGGTCTTTACGCTGTTTGGCGCCAAAGAAAATTCTCGATTTCCCTTGAAACTTCATTTTCATTTCCTCTATTATGTTTCTTTTCATCCTTATCCTGATTCAACAACCTTTTCTGTAGGGAATTTACCTTTCTCTTTGGGTCAAGTTTATACAACCCACACGTTCAATAAGACAAAACAAATCCAATAAAAAATTGGAGAAATCAGATCCCGGAAACATAAATTACTGCTGAAATTAGATTAGGCAAAGCAGATCATTCAAATTTTCTTGATTTTTTCTCACAGTACAATTAGTTTAACACTTGGCACTAAAGAATAGAGCAAAAATCACTTAATAATGGTTAGACGCCCGAATATTAAACATAAACAGAACCATAAGAGAGAGCCATTAAAAGAAGAGCAGCTTGTTCTTCTTCACCCAACTTTCTCCTTTGATTCTCAAGCGTTGATGTTTTCATCAGAGCTTCTCTTCCCAATGATATCAATCTTGCTTCAGATTATCCCCAAAATTTCTAGGTTGTTTGATGATTTCTTTGATTTCTTCTCTTCCCCTTTCTTTAGTCCTATGATTGATCTCCTCTTTTCCTGCTACGGATCCCACAAGCATTGCCAATGACTGCAGAAATTCAAATTAAAGTGTAAGAAATAAAAATCAAAGATTAAAGATCAAATAAGTGTTGAAATGGAAAATGATTAACACCTTGGGACCAGCTGGGCCGCCTCTCCAAAGAGGGGTTTTAGAAGTGCCGCAATCAGCGCAGGTTTTCTTGATTTGTTCGTTGAAAACGCTTTGAGTTTGAGCTCCCTTTGGTGAAATCGTTTCTTGATGTTCATAACTTTGATCTTCAGAATCTGATCCCTGCAGCAAAAATAAGCGAATCAACTAAAGGAAATGGAAAGTTGAGCTTAATGATCAAGTGAAGAACATTGATGATCACTAACTTTTTCACTTGGATCCAGCATTTTTTTTGTTAGTTTTTGTTGAAGATCTGGAACCAACCCAGTTGTAACACACACAAACCTCAAATGGCAGTGAAGTTTCAAGTGAAACGGATCAAAATATGGAAAATGATCCCAAAAAACAAATAAGTGTAAATGAAGAGGAGATTTTGGTGGGTGGCTTTGTTTTGTGTTGATCAGAGAGACTGACAATTTTCTCTGGAGAAAAAGTGAAGAAAGAGAAGGAAAATTTTCAAGTGGCGGTAAACTAATCAAACCGACATAAAACACCGCACGCAGGTGGATCCAGAAAAGTATTTATAAACGGGACGCGAAACCCTAGTTCATGGGCTGTGAAATGACAGAAACACCATTGATGGAGATAGTTTTATTACATTTTTTGCCACCCGCCAAATTCTACAAAAATAAGAGCTTTCATTGAATGAACCCCAAAAAAGGCGCCAACGTATTGTTTGTTTGTCTGTTTTATCCTGTTTGATTTACATCCAAATTTTTAAAATTTCTCCACTATTATTTGTTTTCTCGGAAAATTTTAAGATATGTTTACGTGTTCCAACCAATTTTTCCCATCTTTGCCTGCCACTGCCTCAATTTTATATATTTATTTATTAATTTAAAAAATCGATTCCAAGTGATATCGGTAGTGAAAATATTATTATTCTTTTTTTAATGTTTTGAATTCGAGTATTATGAATATTATGAATGTAAACGATCAATATTAAATTATTGAAAATTATCTTTAAATAAATATTATATTATATTTATTCCAAAAATATACTTATATATTCACATTAGATGATGTGATGTGTTAATATTTTAGTTACCTTCTAACTATATGTGATAAAAGATTGAGTGACCTTTGTACCTTGTCTCCCATATTTCTCTAATTAATTTAAATATTTATATTTATTTAAATTAAATTTATATAAAATAAAAATATTTGCTTATTCAAACCGGATAAAAAAGTACTGGCCATCTACCCAATCCATATATAAAGCAGAACAATGCAATAAATTAAATTGCTGAAAAAAGGTCGACATTGAAGGTCAATTCAGAAAATTTCCAAATTCAAAGGACTAATTTTAGACAGTTAATTATAATAATAGAAACGAAACTACACGAAATCACCAAATATTACAGCTTTACAGTCCCATAAAACTAAAAATATTACATTTCAAGGACCTGTACTATATAATTATGTAATATGTATATGCCGAAGCACTATTAGCTTGAAAATTTCTTCTATGGTTTATGGCCTATCTCTCTAAGGTGGCGTTTGGTTGGATGGAATTCCTTGGAATTAGTGGGAATTAGAATCTAATTCTATCACTTTCTCATGTTTGGTTCAAGTTTTTAAAGGGAATTTGAATCCCTGATGGAATTCAATTCCATCAAATGAGGGAAAGTGAATTCCATCAAAAAAATGGATAGAATTCAATTTGAAATTTGATCATACTACCATCATCAATCATTTGGTAACTTATTCATATATTGAATAAAAATATTTTTTTATTATTTCGGGTCGGGTTTCTAATTCATATATTCGGGTCGGGTCGGGTCGGGTCAAACTTTATTTTGGCCGGGTTGGATCGGGTTTTTTTAAGTGTGATATTCGGGTCGGGTTTGGGTTTAGGGTGAAAAAAACTGGACCGACCCGAAAATATATATAATTTGGGTCGGATTAAGTCACTGTTTTTATTAAATAAAAATAATTTTTTTTATTATTTTGGGTCGGGTCGGGTCGGATTTATAATTCATATATTCGGGTCGGGTTGGATGAAACTTTATTTTGTTCGGGTCGGGTCGGGTTTTTTAAGTGTGATATTCGGGTCGAGTCGGGTCGGGTTTTTTTAAGTGTGATATTCGGGTCAGGTCGGGTCGGGTTTAGGGTGAAAAAAACCTGACCGACCCAAAAAAAATATATAATTTTACCTTATATATTTATGAATAATTATAATAATACCCCTCTATATATAATTTTTTTCAATTAAGTCAATGTTTTTATTGAATAAAAATAAATTTTTTATTATTTTGAGTCGTGTCTGGTCGAATTTCTAATTCATATATTGAATAAAAATAGTTTTTGGTATATTTTTTTGTAACTAATTAACATACTCCGATTTGAATGTATTAAAATATTGCTCTATCTTTTGGTAACTTATTAACATATTTTAATTGCATTGATTTTAATTTATAATGTTTATTAGCATGATTTTTAAAATTTATTGAAATGAATAATCAATCAATAAAATGAAAATTTAATATTTTTTTAATTTTTATAATATATTATTACATGTAAGTTGTAAAATAAACTAAAATAAATCAAAAAAATATAAAAAGGACAATTATGTCATTTTACATTACTGAAATCAAATTATCTAACATGTCTGCGAACCAAACAGAATATGAAATTAGATTCTAATTTCATTTCCTGCCAACCAAACATAATATGGAATTGGATTTCAATTCCTACAGATTCTAATTCATTCACATATTTATAAACATTCAAACGAATCAAACGTCACCTAAACTGTATCAATTTTTTAAAAATGGCGGATTCTGCGAGAGATATGGAGGGCGTCAAGGCGTCGAACCAGCCGTCCGGTGGAGAACAGATGCTCGAAACGAAAGGCAATGATATCAACAGCAGTTCATCGAATCAACCATCACCGTCCGCGTCATCGTTTGATGGCGGTGCACTTCCGGATCACGATCCGCCGCCGACAGAGAACGGTTTGACAGTGGGAACAGTTAGCAAGGAGGAGATCGACAAATATAAGATTTATAGGTACAATAAACCCAAGCTGAAATTGGGCGTAGGCAACGCCGTATGGTGAAATATAGCTCTTATACCATCGAAAGCAAACTGAAATCGTCGTTGATGAATTGGCTTCGTTGGTCGAAAGAAAATTAACGGGGAAGAAGGGATTTTCTTTCTATAAAATATTTATTTTGTTGATGGGAAGTGTCTGTGAATGTGATGGATTCAAGGTTCATGTGTTTCTAATGCTCGGGTTCATTTGGCATTTTTGTTCATGCTTTTAATGAGAAAAAAATTCTCAGAAGCAGGCGTCGGATTGAAACTATTGTTATTTAGAATTTAGATTGTAGTAATACAAATACGATAATAATAAAGGTAGAACAATAGTAAAATAGATAATATTAAGATTTATATGAAAAATTTATTCCCAAAAACCACGAGTTTTCAAACCTCAACTTTCTTCTCAGTTGCAATACTAAACTTTGAAATGCTCGAAAGATTCACACTTTGCAAAGAGGTACCTCCTCAATAGTGAAGACGAGCATTGGTCCACCAATTCTTCACACCCTTTGACGCTTAATTCAAGCAGTGTTGGAAAACTTAAAATTGAAACCATCAATCTCTTGCGCTCTTCGATTTCATGTCTCTGCAAGGATTGAAGATGGATTGACAAGCTTCCCAACAATTGAGGACATTGTCTGATCGAAAGCTTACCAAGGCTGGGAAACTTGGACACTTGCTCATCACCTCACAAGCGTCCCTCTCCGTCCGGTTTGGTAGACTCTCAAAAGAAAAAGTCTCTAAAGATGCAATGCAATTCATTGATTTTCTCCGAACAGCTTCCATACCAACCTTGCGCACCTCATCCAAACCACCATTGAGAGATCTTTTAACGATGGCAACCTTCCAATCGGTGGTAATGATTTGCAGTTTTTACAGGCAGCAAAGATGACAAGTTCCTAAACGAATAATATGTTATCCAAGTGGAAATTTTTGCCCCACCAAAATTGTTATTATTACACCCAATGTTGTACCAAAAGCTAAGATTACATTCAATATTACATCGTGTCCGTCATGTTTCCCAACTAACTTTGTATTCTTGTAATGAAATCAAGATTATGCCCCATAATCTTAGATAACGCAGACTAAATATGCTTAAAAGTGGTCACTTTCGATAAAAAAAAAGAGAATAAGAATAATTTATGATCTTTTGATTAAAAAATCATAAACGACAACAGAAACAATAGTAAAACAGGGCGATGGTCCAACCTAATTGCAAATTAAACATTTTCAGTTTATCACATTCAACCATCGTATTAACTTGAACCATATTTTTTGTATCAAACAAAATATTTTACCAATTTGAAATCTTAGGATTTTTTTTTGGGGAAAATATTAATGTGTCCATGTTAGTAGGATGACAATGTGTCGAAATTTTTGTCGACTCATCCTGATCTGATCCAAATATAAAAAAATATTTCAAAAAATTAGGGATAAATTGAAAAAATATAAAGATGTGGTATTATAGTATTTATGTTTTAAATATAGAACTTATACTACTATCTTAGGTTGGGCGAATATCTTTCACTTTAAATTTGATATGACCTCACCATTTACAAAATTTTAAGTCGGCTCAATCTAATTCAATTTTTTAAGTCGTTCATGTCAGATCAATTGAATTAAAACACACTAGATTCTGGCCAATTATCATTCGTACATGTCAGTACTTTCTTAACATTGATAAAGATAATAATGAAAGCGAATTAAAGATTCAATGACCAAAATATAAATTCTCTAAACATTTAGAGACTTCCAGTATAGTTTACCCTATATTAAATTACTAATATAGTCTCTTCCCCGTCCCGCCCTTATTAAAATGAAAGAATAAAGCCACCGACGCTCGAAAACCTCCTCAAGTTCCCCACCGAGACTTGCAACACTCAAAGATCCCGCTACTAAAAGAACCCAAATATTCTATGCCTTTTCTAAATCTCCCGGAAAAACAAATATTAATCGGAAAAGATTAGTACCATGAGTTTTTGCCGCGATGGTCAGCTCTCACAGCCCTTTAATCTTTATGCAGTCATTCTTTTCTTGCATTTTTCATCCCTTTTAGTTTTTTTTTTATTTTCATTCATTTACCATTCCATCCCTCGATTTTCTTGCCGCGCTTAAAGTTTTGAATTTATTATTTGGTTGATAAAGCAACAACATCCTCTACCCGAGGAAGACAGGGACCAAGATTCTCCTCTACGCTTGCCGCAATTGCGATCACCAGGTCTTTTTTACTTTATTTTATTATTTTTGTGGATGAAAATTCCTCTTTTGTGTGTGTGTGTGTGTGTGTGGATTGAATGCGTATGAAGAATTAGAACTAAGATTAGGTTGTCTTGTTTTCCCCCCCTTTTTCATTTAGGGTATAATACACTTTTTGATTCCATGTTAAGCCCACATTAATCCCTAACTCATTCCATTCCGTTTTACAGTTTCTCTCTAAATTTTCCAATTTAGAAGATGAATTCTTTTGTTTTTGTGAATTATGACTCGAATACCAGAAGTTAAAAGTTTTAAATTGGGATTGTTGTGTATTTATGTAGGAGGTTGCTGAAAACAACTGTGTGTATAGAAATGAAGTGCATCACTCTGCTGGTGAACGCACTCAAGTATTGCAGGATGTGGCTGCTGATCCAACTCTTCCTAGGACTAAAGCCATTATTTGCGCCAATTGTAAACACGGAGAGGCTGTGTTCTTCCAGGTAAACTTCCTACGTACTTAAGTTTTTTGTTTATGGATACATGTTACCGGAGAAATCCTTATCAGGGTTTCAAATCGCGGTCGCGTCGCGTTTTCGGTTATTTTGGATTTACCGTGATTGCGACCGTCGCGGGCGCTATTGTGGCCGTCGCTGGTAACTCGGACGCGGCGAAACCGCTATATCGTGGTCGCGGACCTTTTTTAAAATCCTGATCCTTATTATAAGGAAAAAATGTGATTCATTACTTGAGGATTCTCTGTGTTTTAGAAATTAAAGGAAAGAATTTACTGAAAAGTTTGATAGGTATTAAACTCAAGATGGTGTGCATTGTATCAGATTCTCATATTGTTGCATCTTCTTTTAAGATTTTTCAATTTTAGCGTTGAACTTTATTGTGGTTATCATTTTATCGAAAATGTAAAAGCTGTGGGTGATATCTACAATTAATACTCAGTAGGATATCTGTATTTTTCCCTTTTTCTTCTACTTTTATGGCCTATTTTTCTCATTGTTTTCCTCCGTCTAGCTCAAGGGTGATCTATATATAATGAGAATCTATTTTGCTTAAACTCTTCTTCGTTTTCCCTAAAGCATCTGTCTGTAAGACATTCGAATATGTGTATGGTGATAATATTCATCCAAATATATGAAGAAAAATACTTAGAAAAAAATCGAGTATACCCTTATCTAGAACCACTCCCCACTCTGGGTAAACATAGATGAGATTAGTGGCACGGGCCTTTTATCTAGAATGTATTAATGCATGATGACTTGATGAGTGGTGATTATTTTCTTCTAATGCAACATTTTTTTTCAGGCAACTGCTAGAGGGGAGGAAGGTATGACACTGTTTTTTGTCTGCTGTAATCCAAACTGTGGACATCGGTGGAGAGATTGAGATGTGGTTGCTCTCATAAGTTGATGATCAGAGCTGCTCAATGTAATCTTTCTTTTGACAAACTACTTTTACTAAGACTTCTGTGTTAATTGTTTAAGGAGTCTTTGTGTCACTCCTTGCTCAACTGACCTTGTAAAAGATTTCAAAATCTCTGGTTCTCCTCACAATTTCATCTTTATTTCCATTTCTATATACATAATGAGCTCTAGTTATGATCTTATGTACTGAATTTCCCACTTGCTGAAGCTCATTATATCATGTGAACTTGAATTCATTCAGGTAGAGTAAAACTTTCCACTTTTAGCCTATTGAATCTTATCTTATGGTTAATATTCCTTTTCTGCTCATCTCAGTTCTCTAATGTTATATTACTCTGATTCTGAAAGAGTATAATATGCTATCCGTCAGACATCGGTTTGTTGTTTTTTTTAATATATTTTCCTGAATATTTGGAAGATTATCTTCATATCCATATCCATATATGATACAATATAAATGCTGATATCACATACAGTTACTTCATGAAGAGTCGGATTGATTGTCCGTGAGAAGAACAAAGCTCGCAGTCTCCTCAACAATGGCGATCATTGCTGTATGTCTAAATTTTCCTCCAACTGAAGGCAAAACTCAAGTTCCACGATCCGACACACTTTTTAGCTGTCTCAGCAAATTTCCCCGGACACCATGGATTAACCTTTTCCCTTGAGGATCAATGATTTCATCAACATTTCCCTATCTAATACAAAGCAAAGCCCAACCAATCAAGCTTGTTCCCTACATAAGTTACGTTTCAATGGCGGCCCGCTGCACAACACTTTCAGATATCCAACCAAGCGATTATTTATAATAATCGATTAATTGAATCATCTATTTGTAATTTTTTGAAATTTAATAACTCATTTGTAATTTTAGTCATAATTGAGTGACCTGTGGGTGTATTTTACCAAAATACTTGGGCGAGTTGACCCAAAAGCAAAATAAAAATATCGTATAGTTATCCATTAACATGTTGCTCTTTTCCATCTTTGCCAGCTTCTCAGCCATGGCTTTGAGCTTCTACTGCAGTTCTGCAATTCCCCCTCAACACCATGGTCCGCTTTTATCTCCCTTACCTTACAGTTCGGTCATTTTTCATTTGTTCTTGGTTTGTTTTTAATAGTTTATTCTCTCTCTGTAGTGAATGTAACATTTGGAAGCAAAAACCCACTTCAGAACGTTAAAAACCTCATAAAATCAATAGGGATTACTTCAAAATCATGTTCCCCGCACTTATCTCTGCAGCAGGGAAACTGGGTCAAGCTCATATGTGGTGCTAGCTTTGAGGTACCCAAGATTCTAAAACCTACGGATATTCGTCTCACTGCTTTATTGAAACTTAATTTTCACCCTTTGTATTTCTTTTCCCAGGATGTAGTCGATATACGAACCTGTCCCTTGTTTATACTCTAGCTGGAGGTAAAGATTACAATTTACAAGTTAATTGTATTACCTTTTACTTGAGCATATACGTGAGCATGTTGTGTGAATTTTCTAGCTTTTTAGAGAAAAAAAGTTTAAATTTTGTTGATGTGTGACTATATATCTTTTCAGTTGATTGTATTGATTGTGCTGCGGATCCTCTGTATGAGTGCTGTAAATGAAGGCATTGAAGCAGCTAGGGAGATTGTGTCAGTTAGAAGACCTTGGGTGATGATAAGTGTTAATGACGATGATGATCTTCATTTCCGTAAAGCTGGTATATACATACTCCATTCAATTTCCTCAAGATTTGATGATCATTCCTTTTAATTGTGAAATTTGTTTATGCTTCTATAAAATCAGTTCCATGATTTTGTTGCACCCGGACTCTTTGTTTTCTTCGAAATATTTTGACATAAAAAACTGCCCAGCTCGACCCAAATAACATAAATCGGAGATGAACTCATTTAACAATGCAGCTAGCAAACTTGAATGATCCCAACCAAAAATAGCCAGACCCTGCATGATTTGAACCCGTAAGACATAAACTTTAAGATTTGAGTCCTTGAATGAAGAAGTTACTTCTGGATCAACCGACTTTAAGCACTTGTTGATGCGTATGATTTCTTAGTGCTTTCATTGGTCCTGATCTTAGTACTCTTTATCTTAGAATTGATCCAGAGAATTGTCCTTCTGACTGCCCTAGGCCTTGTGAAAAATGTTTGTCCTGCAAATGCATTTCCCAACCAAAAATAGCCAAGACCCTGCATGATTTGAACCCTTAAAGACATAAAACTTTAAGATTTGAGTCCTTGAATGAAGAAGTTACTTCTGGATCAACCGACTTTAAGCACTTGTTGAGTGCGTAGATTTCTTAGTGCTTTCATTGGTCCTGATCTTAGTACTCTTTATCTTAGAATTTGATCCAGAGAATTGTCCTTCTGACTGCCCTAGGCCTTGTGAAAATGTTTGTCCTGCAAATGCTATTTCCTTTGAGAGAGAAAATCTACAATGGAACTCTCTCTGGTACCAATCAAACGGCAAAACTAAGGTCTGTTTCTTTCATCCTCTTTGACTCATTTTTCAGTTTCAATGAATCTTGAATCTGAGTTTCAGTTGTTGTGATTCAGATTCATTTGTGATGCAGAGTGGAGTGATAACAGAACGCTGCTATGGTTGCGGTCGTTGTTTTCCGATTTGCCCGTATGATAAAATAAGTAAGCATTGCTTCTTTCTCTTGCTTGTACAAGCCTTTATTCCTCCAATGTTATAAACTCTTACAATCTACGGCCACTCTTGACCCTGGCATGTGTTTTTCTTAATGTTCTATCTATTTCTTAGGCCTAATCTTTACTTCAAACTGATTCAGGTGAGGTTACGTATGTAAGAGACGCTGGAGCTACAGCTGAACTCCTTAAAACTAATGATGTCGATGCTATAGAGATACATACAAGTGGAAGGTATAAAATGTCACGAAAACCAAAAACAGTTTGGATTTTATCAAATACAAGTAATTGCAATTGTGCGAGCAAAACCAGACTTTATCTTGCAGGCAGACTAATCTTTAAAGAACTTTGGGATGATTGGCAGATTCAGTTAAATATCTGAGATTAGTAGCAGTAAGTGTAACCATTTCTTAACCATGATTGATAATATGTGTTATCGATTAAATACTGGATTTCGTATTAGCTTCCAGATCATCGGTTTCATTACTACCTATAGGTCAGCTTGCCTGATACTGGGGATGCAACTATTCCTGCAATGAATCAAATGTATAGCATCATGGAACCTCATTTGTCTTGCTTCAATTTATGGCAGGTCTGGCCTAATTCTAAAACCACATATTCCCAAAATTTGAGTGACATTAATAGAAATGATCTAACATGTGATTTTACAGTTGGATGGTCGTCCAATGAGTGGAGATATTGGACGAGGTGCCACAAGAGAATCGATTGCTTTCGCTGTTCATGTTACTGCTTCTAGAGAAAGGCCTCCTGGTAAGTATGTGTACATGTATACGTGTGTGTATACATGTATGTATGAATGTATTAAGGTTCGTCTTCACTAATTCCAATTGAGCCTAGATTACTGAGTCTCACCTGTTTTTATCTAGGCTTTCTTCAGCTAGCAGGTGGAACCAATGTTCATACAGTTGATTACATATACGTGCCGGACATATACCTGTATGTCCTACTTGAGTCCTAGTAAAGAGTGTTATAGCACTGCAAACCTATACCAGACAATACTGTATCCAACACTCATCTCGATTCCAAGTAAAGTTAAATTTTAGCACTTGCAAAGCTAGCAGGTGGAACCAATGTTCATACAGTTGATGGTCTGAAGAAAAGGGGACTTTTTCAAACACACATCACATGTAAATTCTCTGTTACTCCAATTCTTCATTTTTCCAGAGTATCTGTTTTTTATGCATTCGACGGTATGAGGATATGATGCTTCAAAGATCGCTAAAATACATGAAAAACTTCAAAAAGTAATACATATACGTGCCGGACATATACCTGTATCCAACAGTCCTACTTGAGTCCTAGTAAAGAGTGTAAATTTATAGCACTTGCAACCTATACCAGACATATACTTGTATCCAACACTCATACTCGATTCCAAGTAAATAGTTTAAATATAGCACTTGCAACCTATGTCAACATATACATGTATCCAACCCTCATACTCAAACCCGAATAACATGTAAATTTTCGACACGTGCAATTTTTTCCATATTTTCATAAGTTTGATCCATTTCGTCTAGGGAAATAATGAGAAAAACTTATACAGCAGGTGCAGAATCCAATCATCTACATTCTTAATTGGTGGAATTGCATATGGTGGCTATGCTCGGAAGGTAGGTTGTCCATATTCTCCAACTTTTATTTTTGTTGAGATACTCGAACACATATACATCTGACAGTCACACCCGAATCCAATTATAACCTTATTTTTTTTTCATCATGAATAAAGCTTTTACTTTTCTTCGTGTTTCTTGGCCAGCTGTTAACATTCTTTGTTATGATCATCAGATTGTTGGAAGAGTATTGAGCTCCATGCGGTCTCAGCATGGTGACTCTGGCATTGAACATCACGCTGAGCATCTTCTGAATGCACTTAAGGAAGCCCTTCACTTGGTTGGACCTGTCAAGTCTTATAATTATCCCTTTGGCATACAACAATAGTTCACTGTGTTTCTCGGGTTACTCGGACTCGGATGTAAATGTCAAATAAAGATGTTTTTTTAAACATATTATGCCATTGTTGATAAAATCAATAGTCAGATTTGATAATCATATGATGACAAATTTTATGATGTGTTGAGTTTTGTGTTCCTCCAAGTCAAAAGCAGATAAATATTGAACGCTCTTAGATTACACGTTGTGTACGCAGCTGCATAAATTCTACAATGTTGTACCAGTCAACGGTGATGGCTTTATGCTCAATAGTAAGTAAAGCTTTGAAATTCAAGGTGAAAAAGGTCAAGTTTTAACCATTGAAAAATTAAATTGCACACAGGCAGCAGGCTATGTAAACTGTTTGGATTAATTTGCATGACTTCATTTATTAACAGAGACAAAAGCATCACAAACAATTCCTCATTGAAATTGGTTTCACCAATTAATCAAGTGAATAAGAACCAAAAGTTTTATAAGAAAAATCATTAATTCTAAAAATATTAAAAATTTAATTAGCACTTCAGAAATTTTAAAAATCTAAATCGTCTTTCCTCTTTATTTATCCAACAAAACTATTATTTTATCAGCTAAAAATTAATTTTAAGCAATTTTTTAAAGTACAAATCATTAAAAATGTTATAGGGAATATGGGCGCAGCATAGGCTAATGTCCCTTGGATCTAGTTTTAGATCCAAATATTAAATACAATGTGTTAATCTTGTTTAATATGTTTTATCGAATTCGATGAAAAATACTATTATTATATTAACTCCTTTTCCGGTTATTTGGATTAAAGTATTTATATTTGTTTTCTTATATGTTAATTTGACCATTTATAGAATATACGCCACATTTGAATTCCGACATAGAATCTCTTGTAAAAGAATGAGACAAATAGTCTTTGCTGCGTCAGTATTAGTCCAATACAAATGCATTCCCTCTCATTCTTTGTTTTTAATTTATAGCTATCAACATTGGTCCCTATCTTGTATTTTCTTGTCGACGTTGCAATTGACCATGAATAGAATGATTTTATAGTCACAATTACAGCTCATCCAATTGTACTTTCAATCCATATATTTTTAATTAAAATTTTAATTAGCGTTGGTAATTATTTTTATTTCTATTCGGATTATGTGTCAAGTCGCACGTAATTTATCATATGATGTTATTAGTTTTTAATAAAATATTAAAAAAATTAAACAGTACACATAATTAAGAAGTTATTAATTTTTTTAAACTAAAAAAAACAAAACAACATTAAAAATTTAAACATATTTAATAATGTTCATAAAATCTACACAAAGAATTAATTAACTCGAAGAATGAGACGGGCCGGTGATGTTGTGTTCCATATTGCCAATTGTGGCCATACTCGTATGTTGCGCTTATAAATTCAAGAGAAACTACACCTCGATCCATCTTTAAGTACGTTATATTTAGTAAGTCATCTAAATTTCTAAGTCAAGTCAGGCCAACTTTCTTAGCTTTACTTTCGCCTAACCCCAACCAACTACCACCCAAACGCCAAACCGCAACTCTTACCAAATACAAATAAAATATATTGTCTACAAAAATTATAAAATAGATATCAAATATATAAAATTATAAATTTTAATTTTATATAATTTTTTAAAAATTATTAAAATTGATATAGATGTAATTAATTTAATACATGATTAATAATATCTATCAATATAAAAATAAATAAATATATTTACTTTAGTAAAAAAAATTATATATAAAATTAAATTAAAATTCATGTACGTCATTCTACATTTAATCAAAATTTAATACTAACTTTAATATTTATTTTTTTATTGGTTGAACAATTGTACTTACAATGGATCCATTATTTTTTTAATATCATTCTTAATATGAATACATTTTATAAAATTTAAGAGCTTACAAATATAATATTTAATCATACAAAAACAAAATTACCAGGAAAAAAAAAGAATTGTTATTCAGCGAGCTAACTATTTAACGCCACGTGGTTAGGTATGGTGGCCCTCTCCTCTAGCTAGTAGTTACTCCTTCGCAGTTCGCAATCAATTTTCCCTCTGTATCGATCGATATAAATTCCGTATCTACCGTTCCTCATATTTTCCACCATTTGCATTTCCTACCAATTTTATATCCTCAGGTAAAGATTGCATCCCCTCTCAGATCTGCTTCTTTTTCTCTCAAATTCCAATTTGAGTCACTTTCCGTGTGTTTCTTCCCTTCTTTATTCCGATTCTTTCATCAAAAAATTTCGTTAAGGTACTTCTATTTGTTTGTTTGGCTGAAGAATTAGCTATTTAGAGCTAGAGATCTCGCGTTTCTTCTTGTTATACTACTGTTTTGACTGCATTGCGGTGATTTTATTTCATTTTATTTGCTCTCGTCTTGTTTGTTTGTTGAGATCTGGTTTGTTTTTAGGTTCAAGTTAGTTGTAATTTTGGATCAGGATGCTTTTTAATGGATCGAATAGATGCAAACGAGTTAAAATCGTGTTCGTGTTTGACAGGTCTCTTTTGAGCCAAAGCCATGGCCACTGGACAGTTATTTTCTGGAACTACGCAAGCTTTATTCTACAACTACAAACAACTTCCTATTCAACGAATGCTTGATTTTGATTTCCTTTGCGGTACGGATCCCTTTCTGATTCATTTAAGAACTTAAGTGGAAGTTTATTATTTAAGTTGATTCCTGCTTGATCGGTACTGAATTTATGCTTTTTGAATTTGTAGGGAGGGAAACACCGTCTGTTGCTGGTATTATTAATCCTGGTGCTGAGGGATTTCAGAAACTTTTCTTCGGTCAAGAGGAAATTGCGATCCCAGTACATTCTACGTAATAAGATTTAGCTCTTCTCTTTCTGTTTCTATTTCTTGATCAACCTTATCTTCTTTGATTATTAATTTGTGTCCTGAAAGTGTTTTATGGTAAATGAACTTTATGGCATGTTACCTTATACACCGCGCGCCTGCATGTAAACTTGAATAATTTAGTTAAATGGACCTATGGAAAGCGTAGAACTTGCTTCTGAAGATTTTATATTAGGCCGTTATAGGATGATCATCTATTATCTTATAATATCTTTCTTCTTCTTCTTCCTCTTTTTTCCTTCGAAAGATTCACTTAATATACTATTGACAAATAAGATAATAATTGACCTATGATACTATAGCTTGGTCTATCTTTTCATGAGCGTAGGGACTTTACGTTTCTGTTAATTGTTTCTTGTATATGGCAACCAATGTGTATAGCTAAGTAGTGCACAGTTAGTTGCTGCTAATTAATAATTTAATATGTGAAAGGACATTCAGTAAATATATACATTTGATTTTACATCCTTTATAGAGTAAGATAGTGTTGGACAGCTTACCCTGTTATTTGATTGGTCAACTTGCATTCTCCTTGTTTTATATTCTCTAACCTTTGAATTGATATATTTTACAGCATTGAAGCAGCATGTACTGCACATCCAACTGCTGATGTTTTTATCAACTTTGCATCATTCCGTAGGTTAGTCTTCGTTTATGCTGTTTATAGAGCAGGAGTTCTTGAATGCACAAGTTAAACAATTGCATTTTATTTTACTTGCAGTGCTGCTGCTTCATCCATGGCTGCTCTGAAACAGCCAACCATTCGAGTTGTCGCTATAATTGCTGAAGGTGTTCCTGAGTCAGACACCAAGCAGTTGATTGCATATGCACGTTCCAACAATAAGGTGAGCAAGATGATGAAAACCAAACTATGCAACCAGTACGATCATCAAATAAATACATGTCTTATTATAATGATTAATTTTTTGGTCCTCTTTCACTGTAATTTGAGCTTAATACTTATGGACTTGCAGGTTGTTATTGGCCCAGCTACCGTTGGAGGAATTCAGGCTGGAGCTTTTAAGATTGGCGACACTGCTGGAACAATTGACAATATTGTTCAATGCAAGCTGTACCGGCCTGGATCTGTTGGCTTCGTCTCCAAATCTGTATGTGATAGTGATAGTGATAGTGATAGTTTTTTCTGTTTGCATGGGTGCGCGTGTCTGTGCAGTTACACCTTTTTCTCTTCCCCTTAAGCAATTGCACTGTGGCTCTTTGTGGGGCAATCTCTGACGTCAATTTGACATTTATGTTATTTCCTTGGCGGCGAATCCATGCTCATATTATTAGTTGTGACATATCTTTATAAAATAATTGCAGGGTGGCATGTCAAATGAAATGTACAACACTATTGCCCGCGTTACAGATGGAATCTATGAAGGTAAGAATAAGCTTTTAACAGTTTGCTCTTTATTCGTACCTGCTGAAACAAATGCAAATTTATACTCTAAGGGGCTGTTTGTTTGCCTCTTAATGGAACCATTCAGCGTTGAATGTTGAACGGTTCAGCATTCATCGCGTTTGTTTCGCACCTCTAAATGATTCAGTGTTGACTGATTCAGCAAAACAGTGTTGAATGATTCAGCACAGAAGTACATTCTGAATTATTCAGAGTCATTATCAAACAACATGTCACATTTAGAGTTAATTCATACAGAACCTCTGAATCATTCAGTATTTGAATCATTCAGCATTTGAATCATTTAGCGTTTAATCATTCTGAAGTAAACAAACAGCCCCTAAAATATTAACTTTTGGGTACACATTAAAAAATTATGTAGGCATTGCAATTGGAGGAGATGTCTTCCCAGGCTCCACTTTATCTGACCATGTTTTGCGATTTAACAACATACCACAGGTAAATTATTAATTTCATTCAATTCCTTTTAGTTTATTGCCTACTGTTTGTTGCTACATATGCGAAGAAGGCATGGTTAGGAAAATAAAAAACTTACCCACCCAACTCCAATCTTAGTTTTTACTGGGATTAACAATTCAAAATTTATAAATGATGTTGAAGTATCCCCCTGCACTGAAAAAGAAAGTGCCTGATTTTTTTTCCATGCCCAACTCAGGTAAAGATGATGGTTGTTCTTGGAGAACTTGGTGGCCGAGATGAGTATTCCTTGGTTGAAGCCCTGAAACAGGGTAAAGTGAACAAGCCAGTGGTCGCTTGGGTCAGTGGAACTTGTGCACGACTCTTCAAATCAGAAGTACAGTTTGGTCATGCTGTAAGTTACCAGCTTAACGTTCTTCCTTATTCAACTATGGGGTTACTGCTATTATTGAGACATAACCTTTTACCTTATTACTAATTTAGGGAGCTAAGAGTGGTGGTGAGATGGAGTCTGCACAGGCGAAGAATCAAGCACTAAAGGATGTTGGAGCTGTAGTTCCCACTTCATATGAAGCTTTTGAAGCTGCGATCAAGGAAACGTTTGAGAAACTGGTAAGTTTTTTATCTTGGCTGAAGTCCGTTCTATGCTTTAGTTATATTGATGTACTTGTGTCTTTAGGTTGAACAAGGGAAGATTACACCCGTGAAGGAAGTCAAGCCTCCACAAATCCCGGAAGATCTTAACACTGCAATTAAGAGTGGGAAAGTTCGTGCTCCAACACATATTATTTCAACTATCTCTGATGACAGGGGTACGTTGTCTTAACCCATATATGTTGGAAACCGAAAAAGATGTTTAATACATGGACATTACTAACTTCTTTCTTTGAACCTGATTTGCAGGTGAGGAGCCATGCTATGCTGGTGTGCCTATGTCTTCCATTGTTGAGCAAGGTTATGGCGTTGGTGACGTCATTTCTCTCTTGTGGTTCAAGCGTAGCCTTCCCAGATACTGTACTCATTTTATTGAGGTAGGCTACTGAAAATTATGTTACCCTCGTATGGGTTTTGTGCCACTAAAAAGCCACATTTCTCATCAATTTTTCACTATTTTTACAGTTTTGTTAGGTTGAGCTTAATCATTTTCTTTTGTTTTCATTTTATGCTGTCTCCGTCTTTAGAAAGTGAAGGTTCTGTTTTGTTTTCACTAATAAGTATGATCTATCCAGATATGCATCATGCTCTGTGCCGACCATGGTCCATGTGTCTCTGGTGCTCACAACACCATAGTGACTGCTAGAGCTGGAAAAGACCTAGTTTCCAGTCTTGTTTCTGGTTTGCTTACTATCGGTCCTCGATTTGGCGGTGCCATTGATGATGCTGCTCGATACTTTAAAGATGCTTACGACAGGGTAAGTTTCAATGGTGGTTGTAAAGGTTTGGGATAGCTTGGTGTGTCATGACTCTTTTCATATAACATTCTAATATGCTTCCTCTGTGCTTCATTTTTACAGTGTCATACGCCTTGTGAGTTTGTTGAAGGCATGAAAAAGAAGGGTATTCGTGTGCCAGGAATTGGCCACAGGTACAAATGGTTTTTAATGGTCAATATTTTTAAACCATTGAAAATGCAGTAACCATGATATCTGGTTTTCTGTTATTTCCTGAATATCCTATTACATGTCTAATGGTTGCAATACTTGCTTTGCTTCGTGTTAAAAGGATTAAGAGAGGGGACAACTGAGATAAGAGAGTGGAGCTCCTCCAACGGTTTGCTCGCACACATTTCCCATCTGTTAAGTACATGGAATATGCCGTCCAAGTTGAAACATATACGCTTTCCAAGGCTAACAACCTTGTCCTCAACGTCGATGGTGCCATTGGGTCTCTTTTCTTGGATCTTCTTGCCGGTAGTGGGATGTTCACCAAGCAAGAGATTGATGAGATAGTTGAAATCGGATACCTTAATGGGCTCTTTGTGTTAGCAAGATCCATTGGTTTGATTGGGTAAGTTTGATTACACTTCGGAATTTTCATACCTGAACTCTTTGTTTTTGCTTTAAATTTTTTGATTTGCTTACAAACAAACCATCGGATGATCTTAGTCATCATTGGAGTTTGGAAACCCCTTCCACTTTTAAGCACGATATCTGATACGAATTTAGATGGTCTAACGACGGTGAAAAGGTTGCATTGAATGATACAGAGAATATTGCAATTAGAGAGAGAGATGTTTGCTGGAATGCGTTGCCTTTGCTAACACTTTTATGTATTTATTAGGTCCTTACATTTAATTGTTCGATATCTCAGGCACACGTTCGACCAGAAGAGATTGAAGCAGCCACTATACCGACACCCATGGGAAGATGTCCTCTACACCAAGTGAATGCGTGTAGTAACAACCTGCTTTTTTTCTCCAGCTTTCTAATTTTTCGGAGTCATTGGTGTTCTGCATTTTGGAGGGGTAATGGTTGTTTGATTTTTCTATTAGTGTCTGTAATGCTAAATGGTGTTGTATTCAAGGGTTACAATGAGAGGGGGAGGGGGGGAAAGGGCTTTAGATCATTTTTTAAACCAAAATTGATGTTGCGTGATTTAGTTAATTTAGTTGTCAGTTTCATGGAAAAATAAGAGATGTCCACCAGGTTTGTAAGTGTAGAAGGAATATCCGTTGTATAAGAAACTAGGAATCCTAATGTTGAAATGACCCTTTTCCTAAATCCTAATGTTGGATGACTAAGGTTGCGAGTAATGATGCAATTCACACACTTGTGCTCGTAAAGCCTATTCAAGTTTGACTCGTAAGAACTTGAATTCAGTTCTATCATAATTTGAAAGAAAGAAAATCTCGAACTCGAATATAAAACATACATGCGGAAACAATTAACATAAAAGTAAAGCATTATATAGAATGGTAAACCAATTAGCATGAAAGCCATTGCGTTTAAAACCAGATTAACTAGTTCGCAGTGATAACCACTGCAATGTATTTAGATTTCAATGAACTACGTCTTACACGTGATTTCCTGAAAAAAGAAATAGCAATTTATGCCGCCTGCTCTGTCTAGTGAAGCAAGGATCGAATGGCAGCAACAGCATCACCCTTGTGCTCCCGGAGTGTTCTCTCTGCCACCTTTTTGTCCAACTTTTTTTCCAATACAAAAGATAAGAAAAGTGTATTAGAAAATTTGGCATATTACACCGAATGTTAAGAACAATATACATATATATATCGAACCTCCAATTCGTTTGCAATGATATCCACTTCAGCCGCATTGATCTTAACAGCAGCTAATTCTTTCTCTCTGTATGGAACAAAAATGCAATGTTTGCTTTAGATAAGCATTGAGCAGACATTCAAAAAAAGGAGAAAAATCTGTGAAGTACTCGAGGATATGTAATGACAGAGAAGTTCATGCTACAATTTCTCACTGGGATAACCAAGATGAGTAATGACTGAGCAGCCGAGACTCGAGAAATTCAAAACTTAAACATGTCTACAACATCAAAAAAGGCCTACAAGTTATGATACATCAATGGGATTTGGGGGCTCCTTCAATAATATGGCTGAAGAAGAACAGAAGGATTACAACAACGAAAAGATAACAATGAAAGGAAGCTTATATTGCAAACTGAAATCAAATATGACCATCCATGACAGTGATTAAATTTCCAGGATATCTAGCTCATCAGCATTCAATCTGATGTCACTAGAAGAATAATAGATAACAAGCTTCCAAACTACGCTGTTCATACTCAGGTTTGTATCGGAATTCAGACATGTATCTAGGACAAATATGTCAGAAGGTCCTTGGAAAGATTATAGATTTATTACAGCCTGTACGTATCCGAGTATGAGCCAGATAAAGGAGCAATCTTCCTTATTCGTTAATGAAAGAACAAATAGCAAAGTAAAATTCAATAGACTCCAATCCAATCCAAACCAAACAAGCAAAGCAATCCTCTTCTCAGCCCTAACGAAATCTCAAATTTCAACAAAACCACCTAATTGGACTAAAATTCTATACAAATATTCAAATATTCAAGCCGCGGTTCGATTAAAAAATCAGATTATTTTCTTACAAGCGAACTACAGAAATGAAATTTATAAAATGAAAATTACTCAAACCTCAATCTCATAGCATTCTTTTCAGCTTCAGCAGAGGCTGCAATCGATGCCATGGCCTAACAAATCAAAACCAAACCCATGAGAGAAAAATGGAATCAAAATTATACAGAAATAGAATGTGAATTCATATTATAAAGCGTACCCATTGGGCACGAGAAGAATCGAGCTGGCGGTCTTCGACACGGTCGGTGAGTTTATCGAAGGCCTTGCTTTGTTGTTGTAAATCCTTGGAGTCAACGCCTCCATCTCCAGCTTCCATCTGCTTGCTGTTTTGGTCTGCTGACTTATGGTAAGGGAAACCAGCTAGATGAAGAAAAAACTAAAACCCTAGCTCGTTGATCCACCAGAGTTTCAGTTCCCTTACTTCCGGGTTTAATATATTTTAATAAACTACATAAATAGTCATCAAATTTTCAAAGTATTTTCATTTTAGTGAACAAATTTTCAAAACCTGCAATATGATTATTGAAATTTTAAAACGTTTTTATTACCACCACTATTTTCAATTGTGTAGTACAATAAAACCTTGAAAAAAACTTCATTTTGTTGATGGTAACAAAAGAACACAACTATTATAGATGGTTCACATATTCTTATTTAAACAAAATATCATAATCTATGTTTAGATTGTTATTAGTCAGTGTCAAAATATTAAATTTTCATAAGAAGGTAGAAAAGAGATAAATGGAATAATGATGTCCTATCATTTCTTTTAGTTATAGTCAAGAGGTTTTATAATAGTTTTTAGTACTAGTGTCAGGTGTGTAAAGTCATAATAATTACTTGTAAGTTGATAGGTTAAGTGATATGATCAGTCGATAGTATATTTGACTCTGTTATGTTGTATGGGCATGCTAGGTATAATATTAAGAGATTGGAGCTTCCTGAAAAATGTTATATATTTTAGGTTCTTTTGTGACATCATGGACTTGTATGCGGTAACGTATACGAGAAATGGATATTACATTTATTGGTACCAGAACTGTAGGTTTAGCCGATTATAGATCTAAACCGAGTCTGTTTTGAATTGAAAGTGTATACATGCCACTAGGATTTCAACATTATTGATCTGATGATTATGATTTGATTGATGCTGCTCCTTAGTAATGTGATTTGAATATGTGTTTACTAAGATGTCTAAAGCTAAGAGAAAAGACAATGAAGTTGAAAATATTAATAAGAAGATTGAGATTTTAGTTGATACAAACCGACCAGAGAAGACTATAGTATTTCATCCTAGAAAGGTTAGTACTGTAAAAGATTTTCCTCCATTTTGTGAGAGGAATGTCGCCTTATAATGAAAAAGAAGTTGTGATGTGGTCACAGCTTACCCATGAGAAAAATAAGGAAAGAGTTATAGAGAAGTTTGTCTTTATGTCTCAATAAAATGAAGATGATCCAGAGATTATAGAATATGAAGATGACTCAGAGATCATTACAGGTACATTTTATCTTTTTGATAAATATGCATTCGTTTTAATTGATCTTGGTTTTACGCACTCGTATATAAGCACTAAGTTAGTTCAAGAAAAAGGGATCTAGTTAGAATCTATCTTTAGTAATATAGTAGCGACTAACCCTTTAGACCAGAGTGCTAGGGTGAGTTATATTTGTAGAGGATATATGTTAGTAATTCAAGGAATTTAATATAATATTGGGAATGGATTAGTTATTTTCCCTACCATAACATTGTGATCTGTCGCTAAAAGCGATTGATCTTGAAGGAATTGAAAGGTTTTGAAATCATAAGTGATTAGTAAAAGGGTAAATGTTTTTTTTTTAAATAGTAAAGAATGGATCAATGATATTTTGGTCAATTGAATAAGGTGATAGTGAAGAACAAGTATCTTCCCCTAAGGATCAATGATATTTTGATCTATTCTAAGACAAAAGAAGAATATGATTATGATGCATATCTTCACATCGTTCTTTATACTCTTTGATATAAAAAGTTATATGCTAAGCTATTGTAGTGTGGATTTTTTGTTGTCCGAAATTAATTTTTTGTTGTCCGAAATTGCTTTATTTAGCTATGTCATTTCAGTAAAAGAGAATTAGAGTGGATTCCAAAAGACTATAAGTTATATAAGAATGGAAAACTTCGAAGAATGTCTCTGAAGTATGTAGTATATCATCTGTTGGACTGATAAGTGCTAAGAGATACTTTGAGACACTTAAAAGATATTAACGGAAACCCTTGTGCTAGTATAATCAGAATCAGGAAAGGATTATGTAGTCTATAGAGGTGTATCTCATAATGGTTTGGGATGAGTATAAATACAAGAAGGAAAAGTCATGGCTTATGCTTGAATATAACTTCAATATACGAAAGGAATTATCCTACGTATAACTTAAAATTGGCGATAGTGATCTTTTCCATGAAGATATGGTGTTATTACTTATATGGTGAAATATGTTATACGTATACCATTCATAAAAGTTTGAAGTATTTGTTAACTCAAAAGGAGCTGAACTTGGGGAAAATAAATTATCTTCACAGAATGGGAAAACAAGTATAGGTCAAGTATCGAACAAGTAGAAAAAGGTGAAATCAAATATTTCGAAGTTAAGTCCAATGGATGCTTGTACTATTAAGGAAAAGTTTGTATTCTAATTGATGAGGAATTTAAGAAAGAACTTCTCTTTGAGGCATGTTATAGTACTTTAACAATCCATCATGGAAGAAACAAGATGTATCATGATTTGAAGAGTCGATAGTAATGGTCAGACATGAAAAGAGCTATAGCTGAGATTTGTTTATAAATGTTTGATATGCTAATAAGTAAAAACATAACATCAAGTGTCACTTGGGTTGTTGTAACCTATTTTTATTCCTCAGTAGAAATGAGAAGAGTTACTATGGATTTTGTAACAAGTTTACCTTTGACATCCAGCAGAAAGAATTCAATTTGGATGATTGTGAGGAGATTGATTTAGTCAACACACTTTATTCCAATTCGAGTTAATTACTTTATGGACATGTATGTTGAATTGTATGTTAAGGGTGTGCATAATTGAAATTAAAGGATTGTGGAAAAAGTACTTATATTTTGCTGAGATTGTTTATAATAATATTTATCAATCAAGTATCAAATGGCCCCTTATTAAGTCATATATGGAAGAAAGTGTCGAATACTTTTAAAATTATATGAACTAGAGGATCGAAAAATAGTTCGATCTGATCTGATTAAGAAAGTAGACGACGAAGTGAATATTATACAAGACAATCTTAAGATTGCATCTAAGTGAAAAAAGTCTTATTCAGATTCAAAGAGAAATGAATTAAATATCAAGTCTGTGACAAGTTGTTTCTCAAAGTGTTGCTTTAGAAAAAGATTCTACGATTTGGACGAAAATGAAAGCTAAGTCCGAGATTCATTGGTTTATATGAGATAGTAAAAAGAGATGGTCTGGTGACCTATCATTTATTGTTACCTCTAGAAATAAATAAGATCATAATGTGTTTCATGTATCGATACTTTAAAGATATTGTCTGAATATTTCTTATGATATCACTAAGGAGAAGATTAAGATTCAATTGAATCTGATTTATGAGAAGGAACTGGTTAAGATAATAGAACATGGACCTAAAGAACTAAGGTATTAAACCATTCTATTTGTTTATGTTAAGATTCTTTGGAGAAATTTTAAGGTCGAGGAAGTTATGTATAAAAGTAAATGAGATATGAAAAAGTAGTATCCTCATATTTTTGCATTAGGTACGCATTGAAAATTTGAGGACGAGTTTTCTTAAGGGGTGGAGAATTGTAATACTTCAAAATTTCATCTAGCGACCAAAATGAAAATTTTGAAAGTTTAATGGCAACGTATAAACTTGGGAAAAGTTTAGGAACCAAAGTGTAATTTTTAAAGTTATAAAATATGGTCCCGTAAATGAATATTTTACCCTCAAGAATGAAGTTTCTATGGTACGGATTTTAAATTAAAAGATATAAAGCGATAAAGTTCGAGAAAAAAAATCAGATAATTGGATCGAATCGGATTTTTGAGATATTTTGAAGGATGATAAGGAAAGGTCAATAATTGCATTTCCATATCTTAATTTGGAAAGATTTAATGTGGATCATTAGATTTAAGATAATTTTTCCATGTTAAATATGAACCGTTGGATTTAAGTGACTAGATTGTAATTTTAAAAAACTTACAATGGAAAAATTGGAAGATGAGAAATTGTTTGTTCATATTTGACTATGATGATGTAAGGGATGATGAAAGCATAGTAATTTAGTAATTATCATGAAATTCAAGGGTAAATTGGTAAAGATATTTAAATTTTAAAGGTAAATTGGTAACTTGACATTAAATGAATGTTTCATTCATTTATTTTATTAAAGAAAGATGAAGAAAATTCAAGAATTTGACTTCATCTTCCAAGCTTGGACGTGAGCACCTCCAAAGGTAAGAAAAAAATTTCTTTTTGATTTTCAAGCTAATTTAGTAGGAATTTGGATGAAATACAAAGTTGATCTACATGAAATTCTCTATCATTTGGTACTATTTGTTCATGAATTTCATGCCTAAAACCTTAAGTTCTTGAATTGGATGGATGAAGGGGATGTTAGGCTTTTATGTTTTACGGATGGATTATGATGTAGTTGATGTTGGAGAATCATTTTCATGCTTGTATGATGATTAAAACCACCTAGAAATGTTTATATCATATTCGGCCATGCTATGGTTTATGATAAAATTGGTTGTTTGAATTGAAATTGATTGTAAAGGATTGGAAATGATGTTTAGAAGTTGAATTCATGCTTGAATCAAGTTGGAAATCAAGGCCAAGTTGTTATGGTAGTTTCGGCCAAGATGAAATAAATAGGAAAAATTTGTGGAAAATTATTGAGGTTAGAATTGATGAATGGCTGATTATGTAAGTTTTAAAATGTTATTTGGACCAATTTAGAAATTTGTTAAATTTCAAGGACTAAAGAGCAAGATGTAAGAATTGGTGAATAAATTAAGGATGCAAAACAATGAAAACGTTTAGATTTTTTAATATGTAAATAAGTTTGAAAAATCACTAGAAATTCTATTAAAATGATTAGGAGATGATTTTTATACCGTTGTGTTCTTATGTCAATATAGTTTTGTTTAAAACAAACGGGGTCAATTTCGAATTGTATAATGAAATATATGAATGATCAATGATAGGTCAGAAAATAGGGTAGCATATTATGCTCAAAACAGATTCTGGAAATTGGATTAGAAAATTTACTATAAATTATACAAGTTTAATTAGGAGTGATTTATATGGTTAGATTCATATTCGAGTCTAGTTTCAAAAGGAACAAACTGAATTAAATTATAGTGTCTAAATTAATACAAAATAATGATTCTTTAAAGTTAATGCAAATTGTTAGAATATGAAAATTTTAGAATTGAAATGGAAATGGATTAGAGGTGGAAGAGCACTACTTAAATGTATGATTAAAATGCTTGATTATATCATTTTAAATTCAATTCCAAGAATCCAAAAAAATATAATCATACATTTAAACGTTGTTTTATTGTTTTTCCCAACTAACCTTCACCTTTAAAAAAATGGATGCTAAAAAAACTTCAACATCGTCTGTTAAAAGGGTTGTGCAATCACCTTTTCCAAAACATTCCTACTTCTTTAAAACATGTGTCCTCTAAATCTCGCATTTGCTTCTATTTTGGTTTCTGCAATTTGTTTCCCAGTTTTTGCCAATGGTGGCATATCAGCTGAAACGATCCCCGATGCCCCCCCACTATTGACGAAGAAGATCGGCACCAATGTGACAATCGAGGTCGATATCAATGGTGATGGCGACTTTACATCCATTCAAGAGGCCATTAATGTTGTTCCAAAAGGGAATTTTCAATGGGTTATTATCCATGTTAAAAAAGGGATTTACAGAGAAAAGGTTCATGTGCCAAAAGAGAAACGTTATATCTTCATGAGAGGCAATGGTAAAGGAAAGACCGGCATCGTTTGGTCCCAGAGCTCCGTTGACAACAAGGAGTCCGCCACATTCTCAGTCGAAGCGAAAAACTTTATTGCATTTGGTATTAGCTTCAAGGTAAGCACTAACAGTAACAGTCTCTTCTTTGATAAATTTGTTTAATGTTCATCATCAACAAGCCTTAATTTTGGATCTTCAATGGCAGAATGAGGCAACTACTGGTGTTGCTTATACATCTCAGAACCAGTCAGTGGCAGCATTTGTGGGAGCAGATATGGTTGCATTTTACCACTGCATTCTTCAGCACACACAACACTTTGTTCGATTACAAAGGCAGACAATACTATGATAGCTGCTACATCCAGGGCTCCATCGGTTATACATCAACTTCAGAAAACTTTAGAAAACAACTCCTGCTCCCCTTTTTTAACAAATATTTAAAAGGGATATATTGTTGAAATTCGTAAATTTAGTGTTATTTCCATTATTCAATTTATTTGTTTAATACTCAATTTTCATTGAGTCGCAGTATTTAATAATTTATTGGATTTATATGTGCATTTTCAATAGTTTCAAACTTTTCATCGTATTCAGTTATCGATAAATTAAAACCGAAATGTATATATAAATTTATTAAATTCCCATATCATATCACAGTACATGTTTTTTAATTATAACTTAATAAAATATACAATATAAAACAAATTTCTCAATACATAATTCCTTAATTTTCCATCACTGAGAATCATTCAATCAAGCCATGCAGGTAGCCAATAAGTGCCTTTAATAAAATCAATGGTAGTCCAATGCTTAGCTTCCTCGTCTGTCAATTTTTTTACCCAGTGAGCTCTCTGTGATGTATCAGCTCCAGGTCCATGGTTCTTATACTCGGCATGGAACAAATCACTGCAACACACAGAATCACATCAGATAAACCAGAAAACAAAAGCTTGAATTCAGAACAAAATTGGCGGAAATTTGCTTACTCGGGGCCATCATCGTAGCTCCAATCAGTCCAGCCCTCGGGGACAATGGTCTTAGATAAATACATGTGAGCAAAAACCACGGTCGAGTATTTTCCTTTAGCCCTTCCCAAGTAAACATAACCGATGCCATAAACCTTGCCCTTGACGAAGACGAACCCGCTGTTCTCTTCATGGTTTGCCCTGTTTTGTGCTGTGATGGATCCATGGATCGCAATCCTCTTGTCTTGTAAAACAAAGATCTCACAGTTCTGCACGTGTTTCAATCCATTAAAAAAGACGAACCCAAAGCTGTTTTGGTCTTTAAAAACCCAGAGTTTTTTTATTCAACTTACGTAAAACATTGTTCTTCCTCGGCCGAAAATAAAATCGATAGAGCCCTGGATGTAGCAACTATCATAGTAATGTCTTCCTTTGTAATCGAACAAAGTGTTGTGGGTGCTAAAGAATGCACAGTGGTAAAATGCAACCATATCTGCTCCCACAAATGCTGCCACCGACTGGTTCTGAGATGTATAAGCAACACCAGTAGGTGCCTCATTCTGCCATTGAAGATCCAAAATTAAGTCTTGTTGATGATGAACATTAAACAAATTTATCAAAGAAGAGACTGTTACTGTTAGTGCTTACCTTGAAGCTAATACCAAATGCAATAAAGTTTTTCGCTTCGACTGAGAATGTGGCCGATTCCTTGTTGTCAACGGAGCTCTGGGACCAAACGATGCCGGTCTTTCCTTTACCATTGCCTCTCATGAAGATATAACGTTTCTCTTTTGGCACATGAACCTTTTCTCTGCAACATCGAAAGCATTTGGGATCAAATGTTAGAAAAGAAATTCTGTATAACCAAGGGCAAGGTCATGGCTGTCCCCGGCTTTATCCTAGGCGCATGCAGAGACAATTCTATTGGGAATGTGTTACCTATAAACCCCTTTCTTAACATGGATAATAACCCATTTACTATTCCCGTTGGGAATGGCGTTAACGGCCTCTTGAACGGTTTTGTAATCTCCGCGGCCTTCGACATCAACCGTGATGGTCAAATTGGCGGCAATCTTCTTCGTCAAGAAAGGAGCGTCGAGTTTGAACACATCCGATTTCTTGGCGTCTACGGAACATGGAAACAGATTGCAATAGCCAATATAGAAGCAAATGCAATATTCATGAAAGACATGTTTTTGGATGCCTTTTGGAATGAATATTATTGCATTAGGCTTTTTAACACAGGCTTTTACCCTTTGGAAAAAAGGTAGAAATTGGTTGGGAGAAAACAAAGAAACGAAATCTATTCTTGAGGGGGCGTTTACAACAAATTCTTCTTTTTTGTGGTTTATAATGCATTGCTTTAGGTTAAGTAACGTGTTTTAAGCCAACGGCTTGGGAGCTCAAGCTTATTATAGAAACAACTAACCCATTTGGCACAAAATAATGTCTTCGACTAAATGGAGAAGGATAAAATGAATATGTTTTCGAATAAATTGGATCAAGGGCTTGTTGGATCCGATCGATTCATTTCAATTATTCATGATAAATTTTGAATATTATTTTAAATGATAAAGATAAGAAAATCACATCTTTATAAGATCCCTGTTATATTATATCATCAAGCAGTTTAAAAACTGTTAGGGAGTGTTTGGTTCACGGAATGTAAGATTACCGGTGAGAATGTAAGATTACCAGGGAATAGGATTACTGAGAATGTTGTATTTTGTGTTTGGTTGGTTTAGCAGATGTAAGATTACGTGTTTGGTTAAAGAATAAAAGATTATTGGAATGTATATTTGACCAAATTGTCCTTATTATATATTTATTTTTTAATAAGTTGGAAAATATTTATATATTTTCTTTAAAAAATTAAATTCATAAAATTTATATATATATAAAATTATATATTTAATATAAAAAGGTTTAATGAAAAGATATATTTTAATTATAGATTTTTTTTGTAAATCTAAAATAGTTTAAGGATAAATTTGTAATTTAACCTTCGTAGAATTTTTATTATTCAATGACAGAAGAATGATATTTGTGAACAAAATTTTTTTTAATGGCATTTTAGTCTAAAATGCCGATAATCCAACAATACCTAAGAAAATGAGGTAATGACATTCCTGATAATATACCCAAAAATATCTACTATTAATAATAAAATATTACCGAGAATGAGATTCTATCAACCAAACATAAAAATGTAGGTTTCATTCTTGTGAAAATCCCACGTTCATTGAACCAAATAGAAAGATTTGAAAACCCCCAATGGTACAATTAGAAAATGAGATTATCAGTCAATTAGCAGCAATATCACTTTCACTATAAATATGGTGTGCGTACAAAATCCATTATTTAAAGGCAACATTTTTAGAGAACACAAGACCCCAAATAACTTTCATGCAAAATTATATTTCTAAATAAACCAACTATGGAAAGATTTCAAAATTACTTTGCAAGTTAGTATCTCAAATTTTATACTTCAGGACATTTTGATTTCAATCAAATAGTTATGTAATGATTAAAATACGACTATGTAAAAATAAGTGCTCAAACAATACTCAAAGTTAATTTTAGGTATATAAAGATTTTTTTTAAATAAATGTGTAACGTTTTTTCATTATACTTTTAATTTCATATTTCTGATGTTATATTTTTAAGCGTATAGATTGCACAACCATTAAAAATTATTATTACCTGGTACATGTTATACCTAACAAATTTTATTTAAAAAAAACACTTATAATTAAAATTTATTTAAAATAAAATATTTTTTGAAATTATAAGAAATCTAAAAAAAACAATTTCAATCTCTTTTTACCATCGACCACTACCAACACCGTTAAAACCGACACTCTAACAACTTGCAACTGTCCAAACCTCCACTAACCAAACTTCCATGCTTCATGTGGCAATTGCAGCAAAAAATTGATGATCAAAACGATTAATGATTTTCAAGGTGTGCAATAATTCCAACAATTCAAATAACAGTTTCTCGTGTTGTGCGTTTTACCCCAATTAAATAGTGTCCAACAATAAAGAACAACGACCAAGATAACATCGCCAACGACCAACGTGGACAACGAAGTTTGGAATTATAATTTTTAGAGTTTTGTTTTTTAATTTTAAGAAAAATTAAGTTTTTCATAAATAAAATATAATTTTTTATTTTTATTTTAAAATATTTTTATTTTTATAAATCTATCATGTGTCAAATAACATTCAAATTTAATAATCATTACATTCCAAACACTTAAAAATATAATTTAAAATATTAGACATATATTTTTAATAAAAAAATACTTTAGACACTTAATTTTACATTCAACCTTAAAATAATTTATTTTTAAATTTAACTATAAAATATATCTAAATAGTAAATTTTGCATAGAAAAAAATCATGATGATAAGTCTATTCAAGAGAAATAATGAAATATAAAATGATTAATTACATCAACACGTCATTGTGATATTGTTTAGATTCAATTTGATTTCCTCAACTTCAAATCATTCTAATTCAGTCCTTCAAATAACGATATTATACTATTGAGTCCATTTATTACTTGAAACATTTTAAGGCATCTGCGTCTACTTATAAACACATGCATCCCACATATAATGATCAATGTGGTAACAACAATCAAGTTCGAACTTAACACAATTTTGAAAGAATTGAAGATGCTGAAGTATCAGACTAGCTTTCTAGGCTGCAATTTCCATCAAGAAAGCAATTCATATATGAAACTGCTCAGAGCCCAGTGCATACTTCATCATCTACATTTAGAATCTACTACAGTTGATACCCAAAAAAAAAAAAATTATTTGCAGAAAAGGGATCCTCAGTGAATTTGCTTATCGTTGTCATCAAACATAAAACAAAAATATCAGGTCTCAAAGATTTCATGCCATCATTGGAGCCCATTATGAAATCAAAATTAAATCATACAATTAGGGATAAGAATAGAGTTTCGCAGGAGCTAAATTCGCTGCGCCTGGTAAAGCTGAGGCGAGTGACTCAACTTACCTGCAAATAATCTATGCCTCTCGGATTAAAAAAAATGACGGGTTGAATTCCCTGAAACTATGATAATGAGAATAAAGGGAAGCCCTTAAGAGACAAGTTACTCAAATTTTGAATAAAAATGCTGAAAAATACTTCGATGAAGAGCAAAGTTGTCTAATGAGTATAGCTGGAAGCAAAGCGGAGGATGAAATATAATGGGGACGGGGAATTAGGGTTTTTAGAAGGGGCAATGAGTTACCGAAAAAGTCCCCAGACTTCCAATAATATTGCAGTTTGGAAGGCAACCTCAGGCTCAGCCCATAGGGTTAAACCATACACAAAATCAAATGGCCCAAACCATAGAAATGAGATTTATATATATTTGTTTTGAATAGAATCAGGTTAAATTACAGGTAAAAATATATTGGATGCAGTTTTTAATATAATATTTAAATTTCTTACTATATACGCAAATGTAGTTGTTTATCGCATCCCTTCTTTAATTTTTGGAATTGATGCTTGCATTTGTTGCCTTTCAAGTGTGCATTTCACTTGCTAATTAGAGAGGGACAATTATTTATTGGTGTCAATAGTTGCGTTCCTAAAATTATATGAAATGAGTGCTATAAAATATAATTATATTCTAATTGATTGATTTGATTCTGAATAGAATTTAATAACTAAATTTAAATAGATTGTTTTTAATATGAATTTAAAAATATTTCAAAATTCATTGAATAAGGATTAAATTTATTCAACTGAAAAAATATTTCGAGTTTAGTACAAAAGTTTTAGATTCTATTTAATTTTTTAAACGTAATTATTACAACTTAGACGAAGGGATTTATTCTTGTCCCCGCACTAATTAAGGAAAGGTCGACAAAAAATTGTTATGGTCAAATGGTAAATATATTGAGTTACCTTACGGTTAATGGAGTATTATTTTTTGTTTAAGATTTTTTCTCCAACGGTTATATAAGTTGTGTGTATGTAATAATATATATATTATTTTATAATCAGTTCTAACTATCAAATAACATATCTTTGTATAATTATCTTTAATATATAATAAACGATTATTATTTGAATATTTTAATAAAATATTTTTACAAACGATATTAAGATGATGTTAAGTGATTTTTAATAAATTATAATTTTCATCACTTAATTTGTCCCTTATATTTTACTCATTAATTTTTTTAAATAATTTACTCAATGAATTTTTAATGTGTTTTTATTTTAGTTACTTCGATGTCATATACTTAATGTCGTACTTACTATATTTTTCTATTATAAATTATGAAATGGACTCGAAATTTTCTTCAAATTCTTTTTTTTTTAATTCTCTAATTTTGAATTTCCTTTTTTGTCTCAATGATAGAGTATCTTCTTCCAAATCTCAATGGTAGAATGTGGAGAAAAAGAAATGAATTGTATATCTCAATTCCACATTGATCGAGTGATAAATATTATATATTTGTTGGTTTATAATTTCATAAGTTTTGAGTTTTAGTTGAGTTTTATGAGTTCTAACGTGATTTCGATAAAATTTAAACTGATATAATTATAAGAGGTAATGAGACAATTTCATTGATATCTTTAGTGGTTAGAGAATAGGTTGATAATTTCAATATTAACGTAGCACGTGAATAAACTATAAAACTCTTATATATGAAAGAAGAAGATAAATTTTAAAAATGCATAAAATAATGTAGATGACATAAATTTCATGTCAACAAAAATTAGTCCACGTCAACGTATGTAGCTTACATGTCACTCTTTCATTTATGATTTAGAAAAGTGATCAAAATAAGAATAAAATAAAAGTTTAATGAATAAAAAAAAAAACTAAATTTAAGTGACCAAAATATAATTAAAATAGAATTGAGTGATAAAATTTTATTGTTGATAAAAAAGACATTTTGCATCATTTGGACACCGCTTGAAAAAAATATTTTTTCATTGTCATTGTAGCGATAATATAATAATATAAAAGCACAAGTACAAGGTGTATACACGTGTCAAACTTTCTACAAGAGGATTAAATTTCCAAAGTTTAAACAGAACAAGGACTGTGAACAGAATTAAACCATATAATAAAAATCATTGGAGAAGATGGATACTTTACGATTTACGAAAGGTGTATACACGTGTCAAACTTTGAACGAAGGATTTAAACGGAAATCCATAACAAAAAGGTGACTCCCCATCACCAGACTCGGACCGCTTAACCGAACCGACCAAACGGTTCACACCATTACCAAAAGACTACTAATAAATAAAAGAGTGGAAGGAATACACAGCAGTAACTGATGCATACTCTCCTTTCATTCATCTACTCCGTTCCGTTCATCTCCTCCACCCTTCCGTTCAACTTTTTTCTCTCACTTCACCAAACCCAGTAATAGATTCGTTTCTCTTTTCTTGAATTCTGATTTCAATCCAAAAAATCTGAATCTAAACTCCTTTATTTGTTTTCCTTTTTGCAGGATTTTCTCTTTTCGGTTGCAGCTCATCGAATTGTACGGTGGAAAAAGAGAGAGAGGGAAAGAGTATTTTAACGGAATTGATCCGTTGATATGGCCTTCACGATAATGAATCCAGTGACGAACACGAATTCTGATCGAAGAAAGATGAAAAAGAAGAAATCAATTATTAAAGAGAATCAGATCAACCCGAGCCACGCCATATGGAAATCAGATAAGCAGCTGCAAATCTATTCCTCGAAGCTCGTTCAAGCTCTGAGTCAGCTAAGTCTCGACAGTCCTCCTCCTTCTTCGGCTCCACGTGGTGGCCGAGCTGTCCGTGAAGCTGCCGATAAAGCTTTGGCCGTGGCGGCTAAAGGAAGAACCAGGTGGAGCCGGGCCATTTTGACGAGCCAACGTAAGCTGAAATTTAGAAAGCGGAAGAGACAGAGAGGACCCGCCGCCGCTGTGGCAGCCATCACCGGGAGTAGCCGGTCGAAGAAACCGAGATTTAGCGTTTTGAAACTGAAAGCGAGAAGTTTACCGACAGTTCAAAGGAAAGTTAAGGTTCTTGGCCGGTTGGTTCCCGGTTGCCGAAAGGAACCGTTACCTATTATTCTTGAAGAAGCTACTGATTACATAGCGGCGCTTGAGATGCAAGTTCGAGCGATGAGCGCTCTCGCCGAGCTACTATCTGGCTCCTCCGCCGCCAGCTTTAGCTCATCTCCTCCCCCGCCGCCGCCAAGCCAGTGACACTTTTATTTTACGTAAATGCCAAGTGTCACATCTTCTTCCTTATTTATACATATATATATAATTTTTATTATTTCTCTTCTCTCTAAGTAATCATCGCCCTCTTTAAATTCATGTCTTCTTTGTTTTTCTTCTTCAAGTAAATATTATCCCCATTTTTATTGTCATTCCCATTTAATTCGTAGCTTTTGATTTGAATACATCTTTCAACTTTGCTTGTACACAGTACACTATTATCCCTCTGGAAATGTTATTACTCGTTGATTTCAGGTTAAAAATGAAGAAATTAAAGTTTCATTTGTTTATTGATTTTTGAGGGCCAAAGTGATTTTGATAAGGTGGCGAAGATGTGTCCAAATTAAGGTAGGTCATAGGCGACAAATGCATTTGATGGTTGATGGGGGCTATAATGCTCTTTAGCCAATGGCTTCCCACTCCACTACCTTAGTGTGGGCTGATAAATGATAACCTTTGTTGAGGAATCAGTTCTTTTTTTAATATTAAAAAAATATATGTTAAAAAATAAATAGAGATTTGGGGATGAAGATTAATTATTTAGGGAATTAAAGATGTTTGAATAGTATTAAGTGAAATTGTCGATCGTTAAATTTGTTTTCGATCAAAGTCTCTTTTTTTTCGCGAACGATTCTATTTGATTTTTTTCTTCTTAAAATTACTTTCATTTTTTTAAAAAAAAAGAAGTCGTTACGTCCTATTAATCACTTCCACCAAAAACAGATACAATAACCGACGATTTCACTTGGTACTATTCAAATATTTCTAATGTTTTCACTTGTATCATCAATGTTCATGTAACTATATGAACTGTGTTTGATAGCTAGAATTCAGTGAATCTTGAATGAAACAAATATGAAAAGCAATTGTCCCGGCACTTATTTGGAGAACCAATATTAGGCACATTTCAAGAAGGTGATGTTGAAGGGTGGGGCGAATGGTTTTGGGAAATGGTAGGTGATCGTCCTGTGTGGGAGTGAGGTAAGTCACCACCTGTTTCCATACAAATGCTTGGTTTCGGTCCATTCTCCATAGGGATGAACACAAGGGACCAACACAGTCTCTCCGCTCGTGTTACGGGTCATTGTTCCCATCCAATAATTTCATTAAATCTACACGCCTACTTTTATCTTAATTTTTGCATTTAAAATTTCGAAAATCTAAATTTTCTAATCTGCTTACTATAAAATATATTTATTGTATTCATAATGATTTATTTGCGAAGTTAGCGTGATTTATTTACTCTCAGCGCCTGAACAAATTTTAATTAAAAAATAAAAAAAATTCATTATTTTTGAAGATGTGGAATTGTTATTTCGAAAACAAATACCGCCTGTTGGGTGGATGAACCGCAGTAAGCAAGCACATGCTACGCATTCATTTGGGTCAGTAAAGAAACAAAATACCAGTCCGCATTTACGTCCCATGCATGTGCTTTAACTTTTCTTAGGGTTATATACATGGCTGGTACATGAATGATACTGATTCTTCAAATATACTCGTTTCCCTCAATTCATATATAAAGTTTAAGATTGTTAACTATTTAAAAAATGTTTAATATTGTTAATAATTTCACCTATTTTTCGTGCCGGAATCTTACGTTATAGTGGTGGATGACTTAGAAAAAAATACGTAATATATATATATTTTTAATTATTTGCTTTATATATAATAGAATGATTAGTCTTTAATATTTTATTAATTTTTAACTTCCCCTTGAGGTTTAAAAAGTTTAAAATATTAATTTCTTTATTTTTTTCTATTCTCAAAAAACTTAATCTAAACTTATTATTTTCTTTCAAACCTTATCATCATCGTTCTCGTTGCTACCACGTCACCGACCAATAAATTTGTCAAAAGTATTCTTTTAAGTCTATCAAAAAGTAAAAATTAACAAGACTAATATATAATATAACATGACACTCCGTTAATTGTTGACTTTATCATAGAAAATCAAATCAATAATCCAAACTATGAATAATTAATAAGATAATCAAATAATCACTAATTAGAAATACAACTATAGATTCGTCCTTTAAAAAATATTACTCAAAGGATAAAAACGTAATACAGTAATATACAATAACATTCATCGTTTTTATAAGATGTTATATACATGTGTGCGTGAGAGAGATTGATAAATCTATTCAAATATTGAGTTTGATGATAACTGAATTTAGCGTAATTTTTATCCCGTCTTAATTTAAATTATTATTTAATAGTAAAATAACTTTTTTATTAATTATAAAAATCTGAAACATTTTTATTGTTTATTTACTTTTTGAATAGTGATTCATATCTTAATCCGACATAGATAAAGAACTTCTAAAATGAAAAAAAATGGGGTAGGGACTAGGGGCCGGATTAATTGGACCATCTCTAGCACTAAGCATGTGGCGAGCAAAGTTGGTTAACATCATAATCACCCTCAAATGAAGACTCCAACTTTAAGAACAATTAATTAAAAAAAATTTAAGAACATGCATGAACCAAATAATATAAGTAGTTAAGGGATTGTTATTATCTCTTGAGGTTCTGAATTTGAGCACCACATCTGCATGAATGTATGAGCATTTATTATCAAATGATTAAGAGTCTTTCGAACATATATTACCTTATATTCACTTCATACTAATAAAAAACCTTTAAGAACAATATTTTGGGACTTTAATCTTCTTTTAACATCAATTGATAGCACTTGGAACATGTAGCTGTCCTATAAACTTTAAATTTTGTCATTAATTTTATATGAAAAATATAATTATTATATTAGTGAATAAATATTAATGTAAATTGTGAATATTTTAAAAATAAAGTATCATTATTTAAAAATATATATAATTCAAAAACTGAAAAACAAAACCCAATTTATTTGGGTACAATATCATCAAATGGGTTAAAAGAAATTGTAGGGCCTTAAATTCTAGTTGTTACTTAGGGTCCGTTTGTTTCACTGAAAACGTTTTTCGGAAAATGAAATCCGGAAAATGTTTTACAGAAATGTAAATCATTTTCCAGAAAATATTTTCCAGTGTTTGGATAATACATTGTAAAATGTTTTACACTGTTTGGTTAATTTTTCTGAAAACAATTTTCAGAATCTGTTTTTAATAAAGAAGCTGTACATATTGGATATGTTTTAGTATTTATTATTTTTAAAGGTTATTTTTTATATATAATTATATTTTATAAAAATATGTATTTTAGATAATATTAATAATTGATTAAAAATATATTATAAAAGTTTATAAATCCTAAGAATTGTTTAATTACTACACCAAATTAAAAACAACAATAATACATAACATTGTAATAATAATAGTGTCAAAATGTATAATTAAAGGGTTTATCACATTAAAACAATAATATCCAACCGTAATAATACAAATTAATTTTATAAGCTGAACAGTAAACAAATCTAATTAGCTTTACATTCAGAGTAGAACAATGATTTTGATACTCGGTTATTCCTGGAAATAAGTTTCTCTCCACCAAATGTTAAAATCTTGGAGAACTTAAAACAATAACGTATGGACATATATCTCATGGTTGAACGCACTATCATCTGGCATGAACACTGGAGGGGATCGACCAACTTTCTCACAGCCGACATCATATTCTACTTCACTCCCGTATAAACAATTGCCATTATTAATGCTAAGCTCTGAACTACCAATATATCAGGCATTTATCCTTGCTGGTTCCTTGTGAACTATTGATGTAGGTACAAAAATGCGCCTTTCATTTATTTAGAACATGACTAAGAGTTAAGACAGGGCTAAGTTTTATTTAGAACAAGGTAAAAAAAGGAAATCAAGTAACTTCAAATTTCCAGATAAATTGTTGTATCATGTACTAGAATAATCCAAGCTTCTCAAGATGTGTGCAATCCATATTATAGAGTTAAGGAAAAAATTAGTTACTCTGGATTTCAAGGCAGTCGAACGAGTGTTAGGAGTGCCAATCTGACTCATTACAGTCTTTTGTGAGTCCATCTCCAAGGAAGGAAAAAGGGAGTACCTGGAGGTGTTAAGAGCCTTACAAGTCAGACAACTCCTGTTAATACTGTCATATTACAAGGAAATAATTTAACTTGGTTACATTCATGTAGGGAAGCAAAGGACCAGCACAAAGCCGACAGAAGTCAACCTTAACACATTCTTTACTATAGATTCATGAAACATTGCGTTTGGATCTGATCAAATTGGAACAGAAAGGACATAGAACCAGGAGAAAGAAATGGAATCAAGATTTTAACAAGGAAAATCAATTCAACTCAATCCAAAAGAACTAAGAAAGTCAAGTTTTTAACAAGGAAAATCAATTTAACCCATTCCACAAACAGATTCTTTACCGTCAAAACAAAACCCTTACCTAAACCCCAAATTTGCCTCCGTAACCACGACTTTCCGACAAAACCATAGAACCAGTACAAAATAAATAAGATTATACAGCGCATAAACAATCAAACATAATTCCACGAATTAACTAAATATCTAATAACCCATTAAAGACAACATGTTGCATTTAAATCATTATTCAGATCAAAGCCAAGAAGCAATTAATCAAAAGCTAATCGACAGAAAACACAATTGTAATATTGTCGAATACAAGCAGATTTAATGGATAGCAGTAGGAATCAATAGCAGAGTAATAGAGAGGAAGTATCAGAAAATGCAGAGGGGAGAGAGAAGTAAACTCAAAAAAATGGAAAATTAGGGAAGGAAAAAGAAAAGAGAGAAGAAGAAGCGAGACATACCTGAGAATACGATCGCCCGCCTCGCCTGTGAGAAGGATTCCAAACAGTCGTCAGTGTGGAGCAAGGGACGGGAGAAAGAATTCATGGTGTTCTCTGTATGGAGCAAGGACTGCAAGAAATTTGGATTTCAACTTGCCCTTTTCCAAACGGTAAGTTGAAATACCGTTTTTAAGCCTTAGTTTTCCATTGACTGAAAAACATTTTACATTGACCTGGAGTTTTCAGCGAACCAAACACCCGAAAACGGGAAAAACATTTTCCGTAAAATGTTTTTCCCGTTCCAAACAGACCCTTAGTTCCACTTGATATCAACAAATGGGCTGAAAATCAACACATATAACTTGGGCCCAACACTGGAGCCTATCTTCAAGTGCACTCGTTGATCATTTCACC